TTCAATTGTGGGTATCGAACAACTTATGCCGAAACCACACAAATGCTCAAAGGGAGAAAATTGTTCGAAATGGAGGAAACAACAACGATTGATTGCTGCTTTCAATAAGGATCATCCGATCAGTCCCGAAGGTACGTTTTCGATTTGCGACAGAATATTTGAGTTTAATACTAATAGTCAAATAGAAGGTGGCTCGCTACTTATTGCTGGAGATCCAGGAAATGCTCTCACAGCTCGTCCAATCTCTGATGCAGTACCTTCAGTTGTTGCATCTTCAGATGTTCTTGGTCCTGGCTCTACTCCTGCTCTTCGTTATTTAGAAGAGGAGAACCTTAGAAATGTTGGATTACGTGATCCTCAAGATAATGTGAAGCAATTCATCAGATTCCAGCATCTCGCACCGAACCAATCATCCGAACAACCTCCAACCCCTCCGTATGAAATGTTTCCGCCACTAAAAGGACCTATTGCAGGTCTCAGGGGCTTGCCTAAACTTTCTATTCCTCCACCTCGTCCTGAACAACCCATCAGATCCCAGAGTGCCAATGGATATGGTCCTTGCAGCGCAACCGCCGTTCCAAACAGCGCTATCGCATTTTCACCTTATCACATGGACCGCGCAGAAGCTCTCTCTCCAGAGCTCCGCAACGAAACCCGCTCTCCTTCGGTCTATCGATTTGGTACTCCCTTTTCCGAGATGGATGTGCCGGTTACCGTTGTACCTATGAGTCCTGTCGCAAGAGAGGCTTCTCAGTCCGTTCCACCCAATATGACCTACCGCCCAAACACCAACACATCTACCAACAACTCGATGGCCAACTCTCTTCAACGCAGCCTCTCTCGTATCTCTAATCGTCGACCCTCTCTTCTTCCCCGAGTTGATGAATATCGAGCCACTCAATCAACCCAGCCTTCCCAGCCAGCTCAGGTCCAGATTCTTCCCAATGAACCAGCCCACACATTTCCAGAAAGTTCAAACACCATCAGAGATCCCACGCACCCAGTGGGTATCGCAACCTCTATCCGTGCTTACTCTACAACCGACCCATGGGCTCAGTTCGGCGGTCTAAATCCCAATCCATCTCACAGCACCACATCAATACCCCTTCCACCCCACTCCTCCTCTACATCTTCCTCCAACACCTCCTCCCCAGAGAAAGACACACCTTCCTATGCTGGCTGGATGAAAAAGCGCCGCACCAAGATGCTTCGCCACGAATGGCACGAACACCACTTCACACTCCGCGGCACCACTCTCGCCATGCACAAAGATGCTCGTGCGCTCGATGTTTTAGAATGCATCGATGTTGATGACTACGCCATTGCGTGTTCATCTTTAGCCTCCTCTTCTAAACTTAACGCAGCGTTTAAACGAGTGAATATTGCGATGGGACGCGGAAATGATCGAGATAAGAAAGTTGACGTTTTTGCTTTCCAATTGATTCCGCAGGCGATTGAAAAGGGTGTGAAATTGAGAAAGAGAGATAGCTTGATGCCAAGTGGCATGGGCAATGCAGGAGCGAATAATAAAACGCATTATTTTGCTGTGAGGAGTAGAGATGAGAGGATCGATTGGATGAGAGAGTTGATGTTGGCTAAGGCGTTGAAACAGAAGAGCGAGGGGTATGAGGTTAATGTTAATGGGAATATGATTTAGGGCTTGGTGGATTATGACTTGATGACTTGTTTGATTGATGGATGGATGGGCGGGGTTTGATACCACATTTTGATTTGATGATGACTTTTATGAATGAATACCTTCTGTGAATAGCGGAGTTCGGGCGAGATTTACTTTGTTGTATGGAGATGTATTCTTCAATGTTTCTTTCTTTTCTCCTGTTTTTCGTTTAGATCAGTCGAATGTCTCATTTTTCCATTTCTTCCTTATCTCCTTCTTTCAACGAGTAGTCCGAGAGCAATCTCCTTTTAGGAAGCCGGCATTGTCATGGAGTTTGTCTTTCCTTTACTAGATTGATTATTTCACTTGTCCTATCTTTACTTTTCTTTTTTTCAGCAATCTGGTGTTGGCAAGACAGAGGATCGGAAAAGTCAATGGTAAACAGAAAGAAAGATGGATGGATGGATGGATGGAAAAGAATTGAATAATAGTTGAAAGGAATATGAATCTGGACATTTATTTCATTTATATAATGACGGAGGTATTTTGTGTTTAATAGTTAGTTAGTTGTATTTAGAAAATTGAATGAAGGATGGTTGTATATGAATTCTTTCCCCTGAACGAGAATATGCTGTGCTCTTTTTTGGTGTGATTTTTGTTTGCGATATAAAGTTTGAGATGTAGGTATTTGATAATGCGGGACTTTGCTTCAAATCGCGCAAAATTTGTACAATATGTCGAGTGGCAATAGATACTGTGGAGAATCAGTTGAGTTAATTATTGAATCTAAAAGTTGGGAGTTGGATAAGTGCTCTATTGATCCGTGTACCAACGGTTGGAAGGGAAAGATAAGATCGTATCTCCTTAGGTGTTTCTTGAACCTCTTTATTCAATAATTCTTCTCTCAATCATAGATCTAGCAGTTCTGATTTCTTGCTCTTTTTATGCATCAATACTGTCTGATATCTACGCTGAAAACATGAGACGAAATAAATCCGAGTCTCGCAGGTCAGCAATTTCTCGAGACTTCCTCGTTAAACAAGAATCATAGACTACTAACATTTCGTAAAGACTAAACGAGCAATTTGAACACCTGAGTCGGTACGGAAGTATCTCTCTGCACTCACAAATCTCCAAAAGTATTGACTCAATTTTCCAGAAACATTGGGTATCTTATCCATCCCTCCATTGCCTCCAAACTACCTCCTGGCCTACAATAGCAGATATCGGCACTGGCACAGGACTCTTTCTATCCCAACTTGTACAAGACTACCCCGATGCAATTCTTCACGGCTTCGATATATTCCCAAACTTGTTTCCACCACAAGAGACATTGTCCCCGCAAGTTTCTCTAAGCGTCATGAACATCAAATAGACCCCGCCCTCATCCAAATACAAAAAATACGATCTCATCCACATTCGACTCCTCGCCGCTGGAGTAAACCCCACAGAATGGGAACTTATCGCTGAGAATCTCCTCAAGCTTCTCAAACCCGGCGGAGCTATCCAGTGGGAAGAATGCAATCGGATGGAAACCTAATATTACCGTTCTGACATTGACTTATCCGTGCAAGCTGCTCGGCAGATGTGCGCACGCTTCAAAGAGGCAATGAAGGATGACTTCTCGTATGGATGGAAGATTCTTTCTCCGATCTATGAGGAGTTTGGGATGGGAGATGTGGTGGAGGATATTGTGAGTTCGGATCGAATCGTAGAGACGAGAGCGGCTATGGCGAGGAATGCAATGGATGCTATTTTTGGGTGGGCGAGGTTGGTTTCGTCGAGGAATTTAGCTGGTTCGTTGTCTGCTGAGGAACTGCTTAGATTGGAGAGGGAGGTGGAGAGGGAGATTGAGAGTCAATGTTGTGTGAGATATGATGTTCATGTGGTACTGGGATTCAAAGGTTGGGGGGATTGAAAAGATGGTCAAAACATAGGGGCTGGTTTTGACGAGATCTTTAATGGATGTTTTGGTAGCCCAGTTCAAGTTTTGGTTATTCTTGAACTCTACCTCTCTTATTCTATGTATTTTGTAAGGTTCTGGCTTTTGAGGAGAGAAACAAAGGTGGAACATCATTTGAACGTCGAATTACATTTTGATCTTTTGAATTTAAATATCAATAAAACTTTGATACTACACCTTGAAAAAATAGTTATTTAGATGCTGGCTCAGCTCAAAATTTGAAATTCTCGTTTGATTAGCACTTATATTGTACTCGAAGAACATGACTGACGCCAGAAACTCTTCAAATCCATGTTTCATTATAGAAAACTAGAAATATCTTTCTCTAAGCTTCGCATTGATCACTCAAGGGGCTCTAAATCCAAAAAGTCTAGCCCTCAAACCTACAACCCATCACCATAACTTCCACTCGGTATAAAGCGAACTTCCCAGTTTCCAGCTGGCCAGTTTCTTTTGAATACTTCAAGAAGTTCATCATTCTCTCCTAATAACTCTAGTAATTCTTGTCTTGCTGCATTACTCTCCTTTGTATTTGCTCCTTTATTTCCTGGAAATTCATTGTAGGTTTTCCAGAACTGATTTTCTCTTTCTGGTCCCAAGAGCTTCTGTCGATAAGAATTAATATATCACAACAAAATACTAGGAATATAATTTCTTACCTTTAGATTCTCTCTAAAAACCTCCATTTCATAGGTCGTTGGGTAGTCGGGAGGAAACTTATAACAAGGCGTGTCAAGAATAGCATGAAGCCTAAGCCGAGCAGCTTCACATTCATCTTGCGTACTGGTAGGCATACTGAGAAAAGGTTCAATCCTAGACTTGAGCAAATCCGGTGGAAGTGGTGCATTGGCAACTAATTCTCCAAGTTCCTTTTGTGTATCGGAGATCGATCGAGTGACTGAGAATTTCTCCATGCTAGTCCGCCATAGTTTGGCGTAGGGCGTGCCTTGTAGTCGTGCCTCGGGATACTGTTAGATGTGAGATTTGAAAGATGGATGAGAGGTACGAACTGTGACTTCGGATATGATGCTCCAGCTGTATTCGCTATAGTCGTCAATTTTCCGGGCTTCGCTGGTGATATTTGTGTCGGTGACCTGGCTAAGTTGTTCGGACATATTGAACCGAAGATTGAAAGTTGATTATAAAGAAGGGTAGATGTGGAATGGGGGGAGTCTCAGTTATCAACTACACAATAGCACTAGGCTGTGGCCCATAGCCACTCCATGAACTCCCCTGTCGTGCTGATGCTGACACCAATCATGTACATTTCCGTGCCACCAACTGTTGTTGTTACAGATGAAGAATTACGCGAGTACCTAGTCATCCAATAATATGGTATCTCTCCCCTGTACCTACAGTATCAGATAGAAGCAGTAAATACCACGAAATTCAAAGTTGAATATCGGAAGAGAGTACCTAGGTATGTTAAGATAAAAAACCATTTGATTCCAGCGAACCTACGATATACAAGCATCAAAACAGAAACCAAGAATACAAAGATGGACTAAACGATTGTGTGACTTAAAGCAATCCAATGAAAACAATAACATCGCAAGACAAGTAAAGACTTCACAATATCTGACGCCAACCACCACGTACCAACATCTTGGACCGTTCATACTTAGCTACCATCAACACAAGTGTGGAAGCTATCTTTAGCAATTGATGACACGTTCGAGATCCAGACCCAATTATTTTGAGATCGAATAGCAAGAACCGGCATTTGGATCGGCGCTAGCACCTCGTTAGCCATAGCCCCATCCTCTTATTCTTCTCGCCAAAGCAAAAAGAACATGAGAGCACTTACGTATATGCCCAGTTCGAATAAGAAGAAGATCCACCCTTGCCGCATGCGGTTTCTTTCTGCATGCCACTGATGCACTCACTTGAACCGATGTTCCTGGAAGAATCGGATCCAATATACTAGTTTCCTTTAGAATTGCATGAATATCACGTTTGGAGAGATGGAAATACCTTGAGGGTAAAGTCCCATTGGACACTAGCGCTATCCATGACGCATTGGTGTCGCTGCTCATTCTTGACATATTTTCCAGAGAGTCCGTTACAGATGGTTCCTAGATAAGAATTTATATTGACTGCGCTACCGGAGATGCCACTGGTGTAGCAGCCAGCATAGATTCCTGTGGTGAAGGAGAGAATAGTTATGATGCTGAGGAATTACATGATGATTGATGGGATGATTGGATTGAAAATGAAAAGGCAAAGTATAGCTCGATGAGTTGAATTTGCGGTATTTGTGTGAAATGTTTATTGTCGAAGATGGTGTTGATGAGGATAGATCTGAGGGGTTTTGGGGAGTGTTTTATAGACCTTCTAGCCGCAAAGGATGACATCGTCTCATGCTTTACAGTCTTCGATGATGGCATGGTGACTTAATTCCGTAAGACGAATCTCGACTTGGGGTGTCCTCGATAATTTCGAGGATGGAGGCTATACAGTTTTTGTTATTCTAATTTCATCGAAGGCAGCAGAAGGTTTAGCTGGCCAAAGTCTCGAGAATCCCCCTGACTCGTGTGTGATACTCATATATTCAAGCATTTTATGTTGGTATAACTATATTCGCACAATATGAGGAGATCCTGCTGTAGGGATCTCTATAATTCAGTTCAATGGGGCCCACAATCCTTTGCATATTGAATGGAAGCTAAGTGTTGACATAAATCGATCACGAGGGGTCGAAGTGTCAACAAAATTGTCTCGAACTCGTGCAATCCTACCCTGGGCTCGGGACGCCCTTGAATGTTAATCAAGGAGGCAAAGTTTTGGTAACCTTTGCAAAAGTCTACTGAATCTCATTATGTGGAGGATTTAATTCGTTCCATCGTGGTAAGCCGACGGAGAAACAAAAGGCACATGCGGCACCATCACTACAGGATCGTCTATTCTAATATATTATACAACAGTTACAACTTGAATAGCTCATACGATGTTGGAGTTTCAAACAATCCGAAGATGCCATGCTTAGATTCGTGGAGTTGACGTTATTTTCGTACGCATAGCACTACTCGCATTGCGCCATCTATCCCCAACTACTAGTAGAGCTGATGAGGATGGAAGGAATTGAAACAATGGTGGCAGCGTGGCAGTCGTCGTTGGCTGCTCGTTCATGATTATCGAGCAGATCAGCGAGGTCAATAATCCCAGTTTTATGATCAGGCTCTTGAGAACCGAACAATCCTACTGCCTCTACAATTCTGTCATATGAAGTGTTATCAGCGGGAAGACACGCACCGAAATAGAGATTCCCAAACAAATAAAGGGTATATAACTGCCGTGCTGCGCTTTCATATCGAACATCTTCTTCTTGTGTATCAACAACACAAGCCAAACGTCTAAAACAGACACATATCATCTTTTCCCATACCAGTTACTCTTCAGATTAGTAGCAATCATGAAGACACTCTTTTTCATTCCACTTCTACTCATCAGTAGTGTAACTGCTCTCACATTACCTACTGAGGAAACTCGACGAGACACCTCTACCTATTACTTTATCGGTGAAAACGAGCTCGGCACCGTTTATTCCACCATCAAACCCACCGAGAAACGACAAGATTCTGAATGGTACGCAATCAGCACCAACGAACACGGAACCGTATATTCCAGCATCAAACCTTCATCCGTGAAGCGCGATGAATCTGGAGTATCCAGTCTAGCCGACTACCAAGATTGGATGGCCAAGCAGTAAGTATCGCATCAGCACAATGCATATCAAATACAATACTGACCATCATCAAGAGCCCTGACTTCTCGAGAACTATCTGAAGTAGAAAAACGCCTCACAAATTACGAGGCATTGGTATGCATATGAAATCCCAGCAAACATGCCAATCAACAGATTCACAAAAACTGACATTTCGAAAGTACAATTGCATGGCGCTTTGTGGAACGAGACTTGCGGCTGCTACCGGTGATACAATGAGCTATCGTGTTCAATAGTAAGTCTGATGTTTTCCTCTTGTGGCTATGCAGATATTATATCTGCAGGAAGTATAGAAGACTGTTTGTTAATGAGTATATAGTTGTCTTCAACAATGCGGCCTTCAAATGGTTATTTCTTACTACAGTAGAGCGAAATATATGGATCAATACCCAGACTCCTTTCCTCCCGCCGATAACTTGGCAGGTTGAGATTTGGAGTGCCATCATCGTTTCTATCTCGCTAGTCACTTGATAGACGGATGATAGATGAATATTTTTGTGGGCTGATGGAAGTTTGTTTTGGTCGGGGTTTATTTTTCTCGTATTTTGGTCTTTCCTTCATATTTCTTTGATGTTATTTGGATTTATCAGTAGTATAGATCGGAAAAATTTGTTTTTGTTATTTGGGTATTTGCATTATTCTCAACTGTTGCGAAGAACACAGATCAGTAGCTGAATGGATAATCATTACATTCGTTCTTATCCCGAAAGAACTGTCGCTTTGTCGCTTCTCTTTCTTTTATCCATGTATCAGTATGCCCTTCATGTATAACTGTTGAATTGATACATTCCGAAGTCTTGTAGCTCACAAATCAAATACCATATGTCGGTTTGACACGCCGAGCGCCCGCTAAGTCGCTTCGTCCTTAGTTCTTGTTCTAAACGCCAAAAGTCATGATCTTTTTGTACAATCTCTTCCATATGAATGTTCATTGTGTCGTTTACCATATAGCACCTTACTATTCGCATTTCATTTCAAAATATAAATAAAATTCGTGATTGGTCATCTACTACAGTGTAATCAAGAACACCCTGGCTAATAATGAAAAAATACAATAAGCCAACCAAATTTCCATCCAAAATAATTAAGGCTTCCACTTGAATCCCGGATGTCTCCAATCCAAATCCTGGATTTGCTTTTGACTCAAACCATCCAACTCCGCATCCACATCTCTCGCTTCTCGCTTCTTATTATCCATCTTCATCCAGAAGAGCAATGCAATCGACAAAATCAATATCGTCGTTCCAGTCGCGAGATTGAGTCCATTTCCAATATGGTAATTAGGCGCGTCAGTGGGCAAGAATGACCACGTGGAAACGAGACCACCAATGTTACCCATCATGACAGTAGTACCGATTGCGCTAGAGCGTGCAGTATCAGAAACTACATTAGCAGCAACTTGAGCATTGCACAGTGCGCCGAAAGAGAAAGCTCCACTGGCGATGAGGAAAGTGGCTCCGTAGCGGGTTTGCGCATCGCTGGTGGCGAGGAACATGATGTAGCCGCACATCATCAAGGGAGCGCTTGCGATCAAAAAGATGTTGCGTCGATCGAAGCGCCAGCTGAGGAATGGGAAAAGAACTGTAAAGAATGCACCGACAATGTAAGGTGGGACAGTGTGTAGTTGTTGAGAGACAACGGTGGCTGTGGGGTAAATAGTCCTCACGATCGTGGGGGCGAAGAAAGCAAGACCTTGGACGGTGATGTTGTTGAGGAGGAAAATGAAGGATGTAGCGATGGTTACTGGACTGAAGATACCGCGGAGGACCTTTTTAGTGTCGAACGCATCTAGGACTTCGGTAGCTCCAACTCTCTCGGATTTAACACGAGCGATCGCGAGGTCTTTCTCTTCTTGTGTGAGCCATTTCGCGGTGGCAGGGCGATCGGTCAGGGTGATGAAAGCAATGAGTGAGAGACAACAGGTAATGATACCTTCAATGGCGAAAATCATTCGCCAAGTGTGAAGTGAGCCGAAGCCGGGAAGTTTTAGAATCCCCGAGGCGAGCAAACCTCCGAATGCACCAGCCAATGGGGCCATGACAATATACAACGATAGACGGAAAGCCAATTCAGATCGGCGATACCAACGGGAAAGATAGTATGCGATACCAGGCAGCATACCTGCCTCAAAAATACCTAAGAGGAAACGAACGCCTGAGATCGCGTGGATGTTGTGCACGAATGCGGTGGCAATAGAGCAAATTCCAAAGGCTAACGAAGTTCCTGGGATGAACCATCCTGGGCCCATCCATTTGCAAGCCATATTCGCCGGGATTTCGAAGATGATATATGAGATATAGAAGATAGATAAGACTTTGTTATAGTCGTATCCCGTCATATTTAGATCCTTCTCAAGTCCTGCTAATTTTGCATTGCCTTAAACATCGTTATTGGTATCGTCCGATATGAACAGAGAAGTGTTCTAACTCACCAATATTTGCTCGGTCGATAAAACAGAATAGGTATAATAATGCCACGGTGGGAGCAATCATCAAATCAATCTTCAATCTCAACTTTCTTTCCGCAACGGGATCAAATGTAACAAGTGACTGGCCATGGCTATAATCCGAATAAGCAACGATTTCGTGCGACAAGAAACATCTCAGACTACTAACCTATCAGTCGCTGCATTACCTCTCTCTGCAATTGCATGAGCTCCCTTATTTAGATGCTCCGAATGCTCATCATGAAAGACACCAGGTTTCTCATCTCTCGACTCCACACCAATCGCTCTCTCCTCAGCATTAATATTTTGAGGTCCCATAATGCAAAATGAGGTAGTATACTATATCAAAATCGAAGGAAAAACAATCCAATTCCAAATCAACCGATGAAGAAAAATAATCCTCATCTTTGGATGGGGGATACGGAATACTTTATAACTCCGATTTCCACCTTCCCACAAAATCTAGAATTGAAATAATCTGGGGAAGCGAAGACGCGGGGTTTGCCTTGGACCAAAACCTGGCACTCCACCACCCGTCCACCTTCACATGTCGCTACCCCACAAACTAAACATCGCATGCTCAGCTCTGAAGCGAGTAGAATTCACGTATCTAATCGTGTGGGCGCTACTTAGTACCTTCTTGGCTAGTGAGAGTCGGTCAGTCAATACGAAAGCGGGACATCGACATGACTTAGATGAATGTGAGTAGATTAGTACCGAACGTGAGCAATACTTATCGACAAATTATGGTTGGGAAAGACACTTACCAAGCATGTTGGGGTTTTATTAATTTAGTGTTGATCATGGTCGGGGGTATAGGGGAGATAAGATAGCAAAGACATATGAGAGGTAGCCGTGGCCAAGCATACACACACATGCATGCACAGCCAAACGCGAACGAAATTCATGCCGCGTGTGCTTCTACTTGGCAGATTGTGGGGATGGGGAACTTGGCCTTTTCGTGGGGATGGGATAGTGTACTTAGCTGATGGATTGCTTTCCTGCCCTTTCATCCGGGACCTTAAAGTTTGAGTATGGATTTGGAACTTCAATTAAAGTTCGCGCGGTTCTCTGTTCAGTAAATGTTGACAGGTTGGGGCTGAGATTTTAACCTTTGTAGGCGAATTCATGAGAAGTAATGATATGATAAGATGTCAGCAACATTTTTTGAGGTGCTCTCAAGAAGGGGTCTGTGTTTGTTTTGTTGTGATTTCATAATCGACGCAAATCCACTACATGTGAAATGAATGTCTATTGCTGGATGGGAGGAAGAAGAGATAATGTGAATTCAGTTAGTAATACACGTGATGAAGCTATAGGTTCGAATAACAATATCATTAGTATTACTTGGCTTTTCCAATCCCTCTACGTACACCTCCTCAAGTTCTCTTAAATCTGGACTGTAGTGCAGTTTCGAAAGCGTTTGATATTCAAAAGGCCGCAGACTCTTGAACATGATTAAAGCTACGAAGAGGATTGATGCACCAAAGAGACTCAATAACCCGTCATCCTTAGACTGCGCTTTGGACCAGTGAAATCCTGCTTCCCCTATGTCGTCTGTCTCTCGCCCAATGCACGATCTTTTTTTTACTCAAACATGGTCGACTCCAATTCTCAGACTCCATGCTGCCATATTGTGCAATATTCGTAAATCATAAATTCTAACCAGCTCATATTGAAATACCACTCTCCCACCAATGCTTTCCAGTATACCATCCAAGTCCTACATGCTCCCAACACCACCACCCATGATCTTTACCAGCAAATCCTAAACCTCTAAGTAATGAAATGGGAATGGGTTCATATAGCCAAATCCCACCCCGAGCAAAGTCATCCGCTATAAACCATCCAGTCAGTAGACCCCATGATAATGCATAGATTACATTCATTGCTTGCCTCATTGGCTTCGGGGTATTCTTGATGTATTGAGATAAGACGGCACAAAGGCCAGTTTGCAGAAAAATCCCAACAGCTTGCAGCATGAAAAATTTAGGTGGATTCCATGGTCTTGTTTCAGGAATTTGAGATATACTACCGCCAGCATGCAAGATTCCAGATATACCAAAGGCAAAGACCGAAGCGATGAGCTTTGTAGTTGAGGACTTGGCATCTAAATATCCATTTGTGATCAAATAGTTTGTTGGCGAGGAGAATATGAGACGGAATATTTGATGCCAAGAACCTCCCCACAGCCCGGCAAGGCCTTTATTTGCAATGACCGAAAAAGAACCCCATGTGGTGGGGTAGTACCATGCTTCACCCCTGAGACCCATGAATGAGGATGGGCCGAGAAGTAAACATCCTACTATAGGGGCCAAAAGAAATACCATGTCTAAAGAAATGAGTACCCCAGCCATTGATAAAAGCTCACGATATAGAGAGCGTATGATTGGAGGCATTACTGCAACATGTGGAGGCATAGCATAATTGTTGGGACCAAGCCAAAAATATGCATCATTCATCATGATAGTTTTGACAGCGTCAAGTAAGAAATATCCAATAATGAAACGGGGAACTTGAGCCCTGAAGAGTTCACTTCTTGTGTTAAAGCGCTTGATTCCTGTTCTAGATATATCATGTTTCGCTGCTTCATCTGCAGGTTCTCCTAATTTGTTGTAGACGGATGGGAGAGGCTTTGGTATATTGGAAATTGCCCAGCTCCAACCAGGTCCACGAAAATTGATAATTAAGTCGGATATCCAGTCCAATCTCTCCCAAATGTCATCTGGGTATGATTGCCAATAGTACTGAGATTCCGTTGTCTCATTTGCGGCCGGCTGACCATGAAGCGCCCCTATATCTTTGCCGTTTGGTGCCTTTGAGCCAGAGGAAAGTTTGTTTTCTTCTCCATCTACTCTGTTGCGCTGCCTTACATGTAACTTTATACCCTCTCCATGTGCTGTAGTTCTCTGCTTGTCATCCTTTGCGATGATTTTGTTTTCCTGAATCTTCCTTCTTTCAATCCTCTTAGCATCAAACTGTGGCCGCATAAATAACAACCAGGTCAAACTTGTAACAATCCCATAAACACTCATCAAGCCTGCCACGAAACTGATTGCCATGTTCTTGCTGCTGGTGTGCCATAGTGTTTTGAGCTGAAACCATGTTATAGCAGCCAGCACAATCCACCGCGCCTTGTATAATAATGATCGATTCGTATGCCGCACACAGAGATAAATTCCCAGTAGTATAAAACCGTAGAGATTATATGGTACCACCATAGGCCGAAGTGTT